AAGAAACAGGGAGGGAGGGAGGGGAAAGAAACAGGGAGGGAGGGGGAAGAAAGAGGGAGTGAGGGGGAGAAGGAAACAGGGAGGGAGGGGGAGAAGGAAACAGGGAAGGAGGGAGGGGGGAGAAGGAAACGGAGGGAGGGGGAAGAAAGAAACAGGGAGGGGGAAAAAAGAGGGAGGGAGGGGGGAGAAGGAAACAGGGAGGGAGGGGGAGAAGGAAACAGGGAGGGAGGGGGAGAAGGAAACAGGGAAGGAGGGGGAAGAAAGAAACAGGGAGGGGGAAGAAAGAAACAGGGAGGGGAGGGGGGAAGAAAGAAACTGACAGGGGAGGGGGGAAGAAAGAAACTGACAGGGGAGGGGGGAGAAAAGAAACTGACAGGGGAGGGGGGAGAAAGAAACTAACAGGGGGGGAGAAAGAAACTGACAGGAGGGGGGGAGAAAAGAAACTGACAGGAGGGGGAGAAAGAACCACAGGGAGGGGGGAAGAAAGAAACTGACAGGGGAGGGGGGAGAAAGAAACTGACAGGGGAGGGGGGAGAAAAACTAACAGGGAGGTGGGGGGGAAAGAAACTAACAGGGGGGGGAGACATTGACAGGGAGGGGAATTGACGGGGAGAGAGAAATTGACAGGGAGGGGGAGTGACAGGGGAGGGAGGGGGAATGAGAGTAACAAGGGAGGGGGGGAGAAGAGAGTGACAAGGGAGGGGGGAGAGATTGACATCCATCACACACACACACACAATCACACACAATGCACCCCTTACACACAAAGACAATGAACCCCTTGCACACAGAAACACACACAAAAACACACAATGCATTACACACACACACGCAATGCAACCCTTACACACAATGCATCCCTTGCACACACAGAAACACACAATGCATTCCTTACACACACTCAATGCACCCCTTACAGACTCACACACTTCATCCCTTACATACACAGAAACACACCTTGCAGCCCTTACACATACAAACACAGATTCACACAATGCATTCCTTACACAGAAATCAGGACATTCCCTACACACTCCATCCCCTGTGAACAAACTCATTGGTGGAAAATGAAGGTGGACCCTGGGACCCAGACCTTGAGCTGTGTAAAGGGCCCCCAAAAAATGGAGCTGCTTCTCGTTCTCCCAGAACATTGATTTGTGTGACCACAGTTACAAACAGCCTCCAGAGATCCTGTTATACACCAGACCAGTGGAGCCAGACTGCAGCTAGAGCCCATCATCATCCTCATCTGCTTGTAAGTAGGTAATCTAGTATATTATTCGTGGCACTAATCTCTAATTTACCTCACATTAAAGAAACACTATAGTCCCCAGAACCACTGCACCTTAATGTAGTGGTCCTGGTGTCTATAGCCTGTCCCTGCAGGCCTTTTAATGTAAACACAGCGGCACTGCAGCACTAGCGTTAGTTAACATGGCAGGTCATATGGGTGGGGCATTGCGATGTCACGGGGAGGAGGAGGGGGGCGGCAAACTTTACTTTTGCCTAGGGCGGCAAAAATCCTTGCACCGGCCCTGGGGGTAGGCATTCTTAATAGTAATGCGATTGAGACCCCTATAGTCGATACAGGGTCTCTACTCACCACTCTTCTTTTTCACAAAGAAAAAGCCGGCCCCGGCAGGAGAGGATGACTT